ATCAATGATAATTCTACTTCGAGTTCATGAATTGGACTCTTTTTCGAAAAAATTATGAGGATTTAGTAATCTTGCTAAATCTTATAAAATTGTACGTATTTAATGCTTTTAAACTTGATTCAATAAAGAAAATTTCCTTATTTTTTGGATATTAAAATCCTATGTATAAAAATCATTGATATTTCTACTTTAAGTTTACGAATTGGACTCTTTTTCGAAAAATTAGGAGGTTTTTGTAATCTTATTACCTCCTATAAAATTTGTACGTATTTTTTGCTAATAAAATAAATTCCTTGAAGAAATTTCCTTTTTTTTCGATAATAAAATCTTATGAATAATAATCAATGAAATTTTCTCTTTGAGTTTTGATCAAAGTCGTTTTTTCAGAATAATGATTAGTTTCTGTTTAATCCTACCTCTTATATTAATTATTCCTTGCCCTAAAACTTTAATCTATATCCTTTAAAGGAAATTTCTTTTTTCTTGATAAGAAGTGTGCTAAAAATAAAAGTCAATAATATTTCTACTTTTAGTTAATGAAAAGATAACTTTTTCGAAAAAATTATAGGTTTATAGTAATCTATCTAATCTTATATATATTGTACGTATTTTTAGCATTTAAACTAAATTCATTGAAGAAAAATTCCTTGTTTTACGATAATAAAACCCTATGTATAAAAATCAATAATATTTCTAGCTTGATTTAATGACAAGGAATCGTATATGAAAAAATTATGAGTTTTATAGTAATCTTGATAAATCTTATAAAATTGTACGTACTTTTAGCTTTTAAACTATATTCATAGAAGAAAAATTCCTTTTCTTTTTGTTATTAGAATCCTATGAATAAAAATCAATGATAATTCTGCCTCGAGTTCATGAATTGGACTCTTTTTCGAAAAAATTTTGAGGATTTACTAATATAGCAAAATTTTTATAAAATTGTACGTATTTTTTCTATTTATATAAATTCATATAAGAAAAATTCCTTTTTTTTCGTTAATAAATTCCTATGAATAAAAATCAATATTATTTCTACCTTAAGTTCACGAATCGTAATCTTTTTCGAAAAAATTATAAGGATTTATTAATCTTGCTAAATTTTATAAAATTGTAAGTATTTGTACGATCTTAAAGGATCGTACGGTAATTAGCGGTATTCGAAATTCGCGCGCGTCCGCTTCCATGGATTAGGATTCTAGATCGATACTCATTGTGAGCATCGATCAACTAGCATTAACTATCGAATCGCTTCTCTAGCTACCCCCACCTCTCGCATCCCCACTTGTCACTCCTAGTGCGTACGTCCTTCTGGGCCAGTACAAAAGGACATTCTTTCATTCCATCACTGGACGCCTTTGAATATATATCTAAATCAAAGGAGTTAAGTTAAATTAGTTAAGGAACGTAAGCGAAGCTAGCGGAAGGGGAGATCTTTCCATTGTATACATTTCACATCGACGGTATTTTCCCGTGTGGTAACACCACGTGGGGGACCATCATTATTATAATTAAATAACATCCAGGGTTTTTATGCCGCAAGACTTTTCCCTGACGAGCCAATAAAAAAGGCATTGTTTCTTTGTTTGGCTCAACAACGTGTTTGATTAATTTTATTCTAATCCCTCCTTCCTCATCCCCAGCAACTAATTACCAGAGGACTCTTAATTAATGAATTTGGTAATGAATTTTGGTGCAATCCTGTAAAGTGCGAATTCTCGACTTCTGATTTACGAAGCAGCGTCACATGTCGGATTCAGAAATACATATATACCTCCGCGAGTCTCTTACCGGTAGAGCGCTTTAGACAATCGCGACATATGCACCGACCGGGCAGAATTATAAGAACACGTGGGAAATTTTATTGAAAACTTTCGACCGGTAACGCATACTCTTGGCACGGGCCATTGACGCCTTCATAGACACTCCACGGCCGAAAAACATGTCAATAGAAAAGATGAAACGGCTTGCGGGTGACTTGCGGGCCCATGCAGATACTATCACTTCTTTCAATATACCACACGCACTGATGGTCCGCCTCGGCGAACGCATCCTACCTCGCGACCTTCGACAAGAATGGGACAAACAGTTAGATTCTGATAATTATCCGACCATGAATCAGCTTTGCAACTTTGTAAACGAGTACACACTCCGTAGCGTCGCGTCGTCGAATATTCCATCGACATCGGGAAACGAGCCTCACGTAAAACGTAGACATACTGATACGATGACTTTACGGCCACTAAAGCGACAGGAGACTCATAAAACGCGTACATTTCTTACTCGGACCTTAACTAATGGTATTCTTTGCAAACGAGATAAACATCTTTTATAACAATGCCCCCGGTACCATGACCTGACGAAACGAGACAGATTGGCGATGGTTGAACGTTATGGATTATGTAAAAATTGCTTACGGAAGCATCGAGACCCATGTAAGAGTACACATTGTCAAATCTGCAGCCGATCCCATCGTACGTCATTACATATAGACAATGACGAGCATGAGATCACGAAACAGGAGAGCCACACCCCCACGAGGACGTAGACCGCGTCGACATCTCAAACGAACCCATCACTACGCGACTAACACCGATCCTTCATGTCAATTCGCACGGTGTACCGAATTAATTCCTTATGAGCGCCAAGTACCGTGTTAGAAAAAACGAAACGGGACCTTTAAACAATTTCGGGCATTCTTAGATACGTGCGTTTCCGCACACTTCATAGCCGAAAATGTCACGAGAGAGTTACGCTAACAGATTATACCATATTAGGTTTCCACTCACGCTATCAATGATACCAGAACTTGATCGATGATCGTCATCGAGGTAATCATTTAATCGCTAAACAATAAATATAGGCAGAACTTTTCGCTACTCATCGTCCCTAAGATAACGCGATCGCATTCAGTAAACAAATTAGAAGGCGAAATTCATTATGTCTAAAATGCGAGACGATACGAATCGGGAAAATGCATGGTGCGTATGTCCTTTCGTGAGGAAGGACACGATCACAGTCATCTACGTAGTATAGCCTTACGCCGATTCTACAATCTCTCGAAGAAATTACACGCGAATACCGAACTCCGGAAGGAATATGAACGGATCATACGGGAATATGTCGATTTAAGACATATGTCGAATGTACGATCCAAAAGGATCATACGGTAATTAGCAGTATTCAAATTTCGCGCGCGTCCACCTCCATCAAAATTCTAGATCGATNCCAACAACCAGGGAAACTAGACACGCTGTCAACGATTGGGGCAGTAGGTGACGGCCAAAACAACGGACTGCCCACAGAACTGCGTCTACACATTTATGATCACAGAACCAACCAAAAATTCCTCATAGATTCGGGATCGGTGGTATCAATCATTCCAACTTCTTCTTTAAAACATAAACTAAAAAAACGTTCTCTCACACTCTACGCAGCAAATTCTTCAGTGATTCACACCTATGGCACAGAAACCCTGGACTTGGACCTCAACCTTCGTAGAAGCTTCGTCTGGTCTTTCATCGTCGCTGACATACAAACGGCTATAATTGGTGCGGATTTTCTCACGAATTTTAATCTTCTGGTTGATTTAAAAAATCAACGTCTGATCGATCCGCTGACTAATCTGTCTTCAAAAGGACAAACAGTGAACACAGACACATACAATGTCTCAACCTTAGGCACTAATTTGCCACCACCATATGGAGATTTGCTCAAAAAGTACATTGAGGTTACAAAACCGATTCAAAAGCCAAACACCACCAACATTCAGTACGCTCATCAAATCATTACAAGAGGACCACCTGTGACGGCGCGTGCATGGAAACTCGCTGGTGAAAAAGCGGCAGCAGCAAAGTCACAGATCTCTCAGATGCTCAATAACGGCACCATCAGACCTTCCAGCAGTCCTTATGCCAACCCAATACATTTAACTCGGAAGAAGAGCAATGAATGGCGATTATGTGGCGACTACAGACAACTCAATGACACCACGGAACCTGACATGTACGCTCCTACACTGATACAAGATCTCTTCACACGTTTACCAGGTACCAACATCTTCACAAAACTAGATCTCAGGAAAGCTTACAATCAAATACCCATGCACCCGGATGACGTCCATAAGACGGCAATCACTACGTAATGGGGACTTTTCGAATACGTGGTAATGCCTTACGGACTAAAAAACGCTACTCAAACTTTCCAGAGATTCATGAACACAAATTTCCAAGATCTTGATTTTGTTTTCATCTACATCGACGACATCTTCATTGCGTCACCTGACAAGGAGACTCACGTAAAACATGTCAGCACCGTTCTCGAACGACTTCAAAATCTTTCACTCAGCATAAACACCGAAAAATGCGAATTCAGAAAAGCTAAAATTGACTTTTTAGGTTATCACATAACAGCTCAAAGGTACACTCCAACTTCTAATCGTGTAGAGGCTATACTGGACTACAAAAAGCCTGAGACCATCCAGGAGCTCAGACGTTTCCTGGGACTAACTAATTACTACTGTAGGTGCATTCCTCAGATCGCTCACACGCAAATACCATTAAACAGTTACCTGAAACAGTCGATAATAAATGACCAAAAAAAAATAGCTTGGACACCTGAAGCCAGTAAAGCATTCATAGAATGCAACAGGAATTGTTAGACTATACATTCCATCGTCCCTCAGAAAGACAGTCTTCCAAACAGTTCACAACACTGCACATCCAAGTGGCAGAAACACGTCGAAACTCATCAGGGAGAAATACACATGGCCTGGAATACGCAGGGATTCTCTACAATGGTCTCGTGAGTGCATAGCATGTCAGAGAGCCAAGATTCATCGACATACAAGAACTGAACCTAACCACATTGAAGTACCCAGCAACAGATTCAACCATCTACATATTGACATAATATTCCTGCCAAACGTTCGAGGATACCAATACTGCCTCACAATGATTGACAGATTTTCAAGATAGCCAGCTGCGGTACCGATAAAGGACATGTCAGCGGACACAGTCGCAACAGCATTATTCAACGAGTGGATATCCCACTACGGAACTCCAATCACCATAACGTCGAATCAAGGCACACAATTCGAATCAGCTCTTTTCCAATCTCTCGTCCATCTAATAGGTGCCAAGAAAACAAGAACGACTCCTTTTCATCCTCAATCAAACGGCATCGTCGAGCGCCTGCATAGAACCTTAAAGGCCGCTTTAATGTGCTCTCCAAAACCTTGGCTCGATATCTTACCCGTGGTACTACTCGGACTTCGAACTTCATTCCAGGAGGATATCCAAGCCACTCCGGCAGAAATGTTATACGGAACATGCTTAAGAGTGCCCGGAGAATATTTTACTTCGACCGATCAACCTCTCGACTCACAGATCTTCGTGGAAAAACATCGAGAATACATGCGGGGCATACGACCAACGCCCACCGCACACCACTCCAAGGCAAAAGTATTCATACTCAGGACCTAAACACCTGCACGCATGGGTGGTTACGCTATGACCACGTAAAGGCACCGTTAGAAGCGCCTTATCAAGGTCCATACAAGGTGATTGACAGAATCTCAGATAAACTCTACAAAATACTAGTAGAAGGTGAAGAAAAAAACGTCTCAATCGAAAGACTTGCTACATTAGCAATACTGATCTCGACAAAGTCGAGGACCAACAATTAGTACCTGAGAAGATGAAACCACATCATTGGGGATCTTCAATGGATATACCAAAGAAAACGTACAAACGCACCGTGACTTTTAAGCTTCCCGCGCAAAGTCACTCAGGGGGGGGAGTAGTCGTAGCGGACGCGTATCTACAGTCACGCCTCTACAGACCGCTCATATAACTATACTCAAATGATAAAACAGACCAACAACTCATAAAACAAAAGAGAACAATAGTTAATGGCATTATACACGCTACACGACACACAACACATTGCATCCACCACGTGTTACTAAAACTCATTTCAACYAGTTGTTATACCTATTTTGATACCGTATTATTAATAAAGCTTTCTATACACGTTAACCATTTTGTATATCTTTTATCTCGTGGTATTAATAAGAAGAGATACCACAATTCCAATGTAAATAAAACTGATTTCTCTTCAGGGAATTCGCGCCTAATAGTAATTAATATTTACTCAGTTCCGAGAATTGTGATTGTCTGCGAATTCTTCTCCTTGACTTGAGTCTCACAGTTTGGAAGTCAGTAGTGGGGGAAGCGTTTTGCGTTAGTGGGAGGTACTCCCACTCTTCCGAGGTGGACGCTTCTTGGGATGCTGCGTTCATCCATGAAGTTAGTCTACAAAGTATAAATATTAAGTACGCGTCTAAAATTGTCTTAATTGCATAAGTTTGTCTAAGTTTGTCTAAGTTGTCTAAGTTTTTCAAGTATAATCTAAATTCGGTTATAATAATCTACTACATATTCTCTTAATAAATTTCCTTAAATATCGCATCATATTATTTTTCGTATCAATTGTGTTTTTGTAAAACGATTTGTTTGTATTTAAAATTTTTATCAATTGTGTTTTTGTAAAACGATTTGTTT